GCCATTTGATATGACTAGTTTTCTTTTGGACTATTGCAACTTGTATATTTACATAATGTATATACTATTTCAATATCCACTAACTTCATGATATTTTGGTATTTCATTAAAATCTAACATGAACATTACTTTTCAATGCTAGGCTCTATCCCTGGGATGTATACTACCTCATATGTTAAATACAAGATGTCAACAATCTTTTTGTAAAAGGTCAGCTAGTAAATACTTTAAATATGAGTCATACAGTTTCTATCAAAGCCACTCATTGTTGCCTTGGTAATACGAAAGTAACTATAGGTTATATAAAATAAAGGTGTATGACTGTCCCATTAAAACTTTCTTTATGGACACTAAATTCCATATAATTTTTTAAGCTATCACAAAATGTTATTCCTTTTTTGAAGTTTTAACCATGTCAAAATATAAAAGCTTTGTCTGTAGGCTGTAGGAACACTAAGAGTAGCGGTATTTGATGTATGGTACCATGGTTTCCAGACAGTGCTATGGTAGACTCACACAAACTCAAAACATGTTCTGTCTGATGCTTCCACCCACTTTCCTGGTAAAGAATGAACATCACAGTGTTACCAATACCAGAAATCTAGTTTCTTAGGTAATTTGTGGCAGTTTTGAATGCACCTAATTATATGTTCCAATACTCCACATCAGAAGGACGTGGCCATAATAATTAGTTTTCATTTGAGTCAGTGGCTGGCTCAGTTAATCGTGTAGAAATAACATTGGATTAATGGTGGAAGCAGCTCACCTTTAAAGGAAAATTGAAAGAAATAATTAGCAATTTTTACCCTTCATGAAAAGTAAAATTGCTATATAAATATGGACTGTAACACAGCACGTAGACCCAGCTTTAATCAAACCCACAGAGAAACGCACGGAGAATCAGTTGATGCAAATGTAAGAAACAACTCTTGTTCCCTTTATTCAACTTGCTCCATGAGGGTATGTCAAAATCCACAATTTGGGTTACACACAGCTTTTTCAAATGCATCTCTCATTTAAAGTGGAAAAACTGTAAAATGATACAAAAATATCTATAATATGTCACCCGCCCACTCTCCACTGTGCATATTGAGAAGGCACAAACCGAAATCAAAGGACTGTTTATCTGGCTCATGCTTCAAAATGCTCAGTGCGGCCCTGGAAGGCCTCTGCTGCTCATCAGCCGGAGCTTTTCCTGTCATCACAGCAACCGTTTGGAATACACGAAACAGTCTGTTTGTATGTTGGCATTTCTTTTCATAGAAGATTCCAGAATGTAAAAAAACAAAAACAAAACAAAAAAACACACAAACCTTTTTACCAGTAACTTAGTCTGCCTTCCTTTTCTCTTCTTCCTTTCCATCCCTCCCTTCCTCCCTTCCTCCATCTTTTCTTCCCTCTCTTCCTTCATTCCTGCTCCTTCATAACATGGATCAGATCCAGGGCCTCATGTACACTATAACTGAGTTGCATCCCCCAGGCCCTAACTCTGCCTTCTTCACTGGGATTAAGCCTCTGCATTACTCTGTACAGCTTTTACAGGAGCTTTGGACATGCAAACTGCAGGCTTCTGTGACCACGGGAGGACTAGACTGAATTTGCTCTGAATTCTGCTTGTTCCTACCCTACGTGGCAGAAGAGCCAGTAGGTGTGACTCAGTGGTTTTGGCGTCAAATTCTGCCGCATACCTCAAGGCTTTTATTATTCTTGTGGAAAATTCCAAGCCTCACAAATCTCCTCAGTGCCCATATTGGAAGCATTTCCAGTCAAGTGTTTTGTGTCTGCCCTATTGGTCTAACCCTTGATTTCTGAGTTAGCCAAAACTAGATTAGGCCAACACAAAACTGATCCAGTCTCAAGTGAGATACTAGTTTACCTTCTAAGGGTAAATTCTATTTTAAAATTCCAGATTTCCATTGCTTTACACAAAGCATTTTATCTGACCATAGACTTACCCTTATTAATGTCATCCCTGGCAAACTATTCTACAGATGTGGAAAATACCACAAGCGAATGAACTGACTTTCCTAACAGTTGTCAGGAAAGTCTGCATCTGTGAATTTCAAGATTTTATTTAGCATCTTTGAGTTACTGCCCATCTTGGATTTTAAACGTCATCTTAAACTATGGATGTTAAAAAGAACTTTTTCCTATGGCCAATTCACATCTGTCTAGACTTTATAGAACATTTCAAGATGCATAGCTGGAAATAATACATTTTTCCCTTCCAGAATTTTCATATTGAATTTCCACTTTTTACCTTAATATGTAAAGTAGCCTCCTAAGTATAGTTCCTGTAATTGGAATTTGACATTTTCCCATCTTCTATTTAAAATGGCATTTCAGAGGGTTTTTGGACAGGCTCACATGGCATCAACTATTCAACCGGAGCGAGTTTTTCATTTTCCAAACAAAGTCACTTCTACAGAGTAAGTTTCAGAAACAGGCTTCGATAAAGTCATTTCTCTTTATATCTAAGACTTGGCCCTTTGAAGCATACATTCTTTATAAGACACGTAGAATTTGATATATATATATAATAAAGTTTCTTTTGAATAAACATTTTCATATATTTCTATAATACCCATTACAAAGGTTAGGCTCTCAGTTTTTAATACATAAATTAGCATCCTGTGTATAGGTCTAAATTCATAAATACAGTTGGTATGGAGCCTTCTTTTAATCCTTTCTATTAACACACAGCAATTGTACATAATGGTGGCTTTCATTGTTACATATCCCTACATGTATTTGCATCCTATCCACCTCTGTTAATCTCTTTTGTACCCTTCCACTCACACTAATTCCCTCCCTTCCTCTACCCAGATAGCCCTCTTTTATTTTCATGTCTTTCTTCTGTTTTAATTCATGAGTTTCATCAAGGTTGTTTACGGCAGCATCAATGAGAGTTTGCTTACAATCAGGTGCCTTACCGATGTCTACACCACTAATGAAAATGCCAAATGAATTGGTGTAGCAAAGCAGACTTACTAGATTGGCTTAAAGACGAGGTCTTGGCAGTCCAACAGTGGCTGTCTCCTACTATAAAGACTGGGAATCTGTTAGTCGCTCAGTCCCCCAGGCTGAACACTCAGGGCCAGGAAGCTTCCTGGAGAGGTTCTAGTTTTCAGTTGACGTTGCAATACTGAAGAAGTAGGTTCTAGTACCAGTGAAGGAATGCTACAGCAGCAGGACAGATGGACTTGAGGACAGGGGGCAAAAAGCAACGATCCTTCTTCCATGTCTTTCTATGTGATCTGCCGCCAGACGGCGCTGCCCAGATTTACGTTGGATCTTTTCACTTTAAATAGTCTTATCGGTGGATCTTTTCACTTTAAACAGTCTTATCAACACATCGTCTGTCATGTGGTGGCGAGGGCAAGGAAAAGATGCCCTCCCCGCTTGCCCCTGACATCTATGGTGAGTGAGGGAGCTACAGCACTCAGGAAAGTGGGCAGCACAGTAGATCTGACCCTATTGACAGGGGTATCAGTGAACCAGCTCTGAGAACGTGAGTGTGGGAGATCTGGCCCCACCCCTCTTCTGCCACATAATAGTGTGGAGGTGGGGATTCCTGCCCTCCTGGACACTTTGGTAGGTGGGAGAGCTGGCCCTGAGGTCATAAGAGTGACAGAGCTGTCCCTGTCCCTCACCAGCTGCAGCACTCGGGAGAGTGTCCCCTGCATCTCTCCTGGGCAACACAGGTGAACTGGCCCTTATGTGTAGGCATGGGAGAGCCGACTTCAGGGCATGAAAGCAGAACTGGCCCCGCCCCTTGCTCACTGTTGTTAGGGGTGAACTAGCCAGGGCAATGCTGGAGAGCTCACCCTGTTGGTGAGAACCCGGAGAACTCATGGGCTGACTAACTCTGCAACTACCCAGGCACAGAACCAGGGTTATGAGTTGGTCCACTCCAACCAACATCCACCCCATCTGTTATCTGCTGGAGCACGTGAAAGGGCCAGTCCTGCAGACCCAAAGCTTTAGGATCTCCACGACGACACAGGATAACAACAGGATATCCAGGAGCGTACCAGTGAGGGTTCAACATTGATAATGTAGCAGAAACCAGGGGCCTCGAACCAAACCAATGACTCTTTGCAATGCACACTTGAAAGTAAAGATATATGACTCATTGTATCACACAACTGTTTTCATGATGAGATTTTTCCATTTTTTCTTTCTTTCCTCTTAAATTTTATTTTATTTTGGGAGAAGGTTGCAAGGGCAGAGGGTGGATATTAAGGAAGGGGGAAATGAATGGGATTGAGATTCATGACGTGAGGGACACAAATAAATAAAAAGAAAGTTAAAAAAAATCTGATCAAGAAAAATCCTTCACAGAAATACTCACCACCTTGTATTTTAGTTGATTCTGGATGTAGTCAAGTTGACAGGCAAGATTACCCTTTATACTCCCTTGTCAACCATTAATGAGTTCCCTTTCCAGGACAGCATACATATAGGCTCTATAGGGTAGGCAAATATAACTGTTATGAATCTGAAAGTGTAACAGTCATGTCACATCCAGAAGTCAGTGTTCCACACTATTCCTTCCTTCCCCTTCCTCTGGCTCCTACATTCCTTACAGCCCTTCGTAGGCAATATTCTTTGAGTCTTGGAGGACATATTCTGTATGTTCCATTTATAACTGGGCATTCAGTGGTCATCTGCTCTCAGTATTTCTAAGGGCCTGAGCAGAGTTATTCAGAGACGTTTATTGGACTAAGGAGCAGAGAGGACAATATGTCCTATCAAGTCTTGTCTATTCTTAGGGAAGAAAGGAAACTGTTTTATGTAGAAGTGGCCAGTGCAACATGGAGAGGAATGAGTAAGTTAGAATGAAGCAAGTAACTGTTAATGAGAAGACTCATCATGATGAGAGTCCTGATAAAGTGTACTTTTCTTGGAAGTAAAGCAGGCAACTGCTGCTCTATTTATTGCTTCCACCAATAAGGAAGGATTCTGTGGCTAACTACTCAGACCATGTCACACTCAGAAATTCAGTCAGACTCTTGTTCTCTGAGATCTTGGGATTTAGTGGCAAAGGCTTCTAAACTAAGAACAAAGCGTCCTCTACTATCTGTAATGAAAAACTCCTCACCACTCAATTCAACTTGTCAAAGATTTCTTAGGTATGTTAGCAAAAACACATTCACTGCTCACGGAAGTCTCCTTGGCTATGGTATGAAACTACTTAATACCCAATTCTCTGTTTATTCTTAATAGACTCTGCTGGATTCAGACATCAAAGACTTGCTGCTGGGACAAGAAGAGATTTGAGACATTGAGGTGAGTTTGGAAAAGAGACATGTTCTTTGTCAGACTGTAAAAAGCACTAATTGCTGAATTAGATTGCGGGATCCGTCACTGAAGGATGCCTCATTTCCCCACTTACAACACAAGACACTTAGGCCAAGTCTTGAAAATCCATTCCAGAATATAATTTGATACAGTTCAAAAATTTAGGAAGGAGAGGATGCTGTTTTAGTCGTTATAACTTGGGACTGACATGACATAGACAATTGCAGTTTCTGTGGCTATGATGACGAAGAAACTTTAAATGGGGAGAAAGGAAATAACGTGTAAGTGAAGACTTTTTCAAAGGCTTGGGCACCAGGCAGCAATAACAATACATAACACTTGGCTAGAGCATGTTTGAATTGAATTTGGAGGGCATACATCCCAACAGATGAAACTAGCGGCTTTATAACTCAAGCCCTCCCCCCCATGCCACTAATTTTGCTGTAAATTCACAGCAAATGTCCACAAAGGAGACATTGACTTGCTAGTTCCATAATCCTTTTGCCATTGGGTTTTGGTCCTTCCTCTACTGAAATGACTGTTTTCAAGTCACTAGTGTGCTCTTCATTGTCAAACCTGGGGATTATCTTTTGATTCTGCCTCCTCTCCACAGGCCAGCACGTTCAGGGATTCCCTTGTTTCTCTTACCTGCTTGCTCTGTTGTCTTGATTTCTTCCTGTCTTACTGATGACTTTGCGGTTCTGCTGTCTCTTCCACCTTCTTGTCTTGGGACCTGCATTTTGCTCAGTGGTGATGCCTGTCTTGAGATGGTATCATTTGTCCCATGACTTCAAAAATGCTAAGTCTCCATGCCTCACTTCCCTCAAGTTCCCGATCTGCCCTGTTTTCAACAAACCACTTCCGTCAAATGCTGAGCTGGTTTCTTTTTTGTGTTAATGTGACACAAGCTGGGCTCTTCTGAGAAGAGGGAACCTCAAATGGAGAAAATACTGCCATCCGATTGGCCTTTAGCTATGTCTGTAGGGCATCTTCTTAAATAATTATGAATGTGGGAGGACCCAGCTCACTGTGGACAGTGTCACCGCTGGGCAGGTGGCCAGATGAGCACCCATGGGGAATGAAGCCAGTAAGCAGAGGCCATGGCCTCTGCCTCAGGTTCCTGCTTTGAGTTTCTTGACCTGATTTCCCTTCATGATGGATTGTGAGCTATAAGATGATGGAATAAAGCCTTTCCTTCTTTCCTTCTCAAGTTTCTTTCATTCCTCCTTCCTACCTTCCTTTTTTTTTTTTTTTTTTGAAGACAAGGTTTCCTTGTGTAGCTCTGGCTGTCTTAGAGATTACTTTATAGACCAGGCTAGCCTTGAACTCACAGAGATCTACCTGCTTCTGCCTCCCAAGTGCTGGGATTAAAGGCATGTGACCCACCCCAAATTTTTTTGTCATGGTGTTTACCACAGCAACAGAAAGTAAACTTGGACAGATGCAGGTGTGTCAAAGTCAATATATCTAAAGAGACCACTGAATGGTTGGAGAGATAGCTCAGCGGTTAAGAGAACTGGCTGCTTTTCCAGCGGACCCAGGTTTGACCATTCAAGAGGGTAATGACCATGGCATAGCCAGGGGACAATGTTGCACAGCCTGGTCTATAGAGTGAGTTCCAAGCCAGCCAGGACTACCTGGTAAGACTCTGCCTTAAATAAAACAATGAAACTTCCTTTCCCTTAGTTTGAAACTTTTCTCTCCTGTACCTCAGCTTGAACCAGCTTAGTTGAATGTTTAGATGAATAGATCTTTTTCTCTCTACTTAGGACCCTTGTTTCTCTCTCCAGCTTTCTGTTACCAATGACTCCCTACCTCCTACCTTTCTTTGACTCTTCCACCGAGCTTGTCTAGCCTGAGAAAGGTTTTAGTCTGTTTCTGCATCTTTTGTGTTTCTCCATGTTTAAGTCTCTTTATATAGAAAACCACCTCCATCTTTACATAGAATTATAGGTGTGATCTATATTTCCAGCAGGAATATCAAGGTGATCTAGACACCCCTTTGGTTCCCGGATTTTATCCACGCTTCAGTTACACTGTTGACTTGATGTGGTTTTAAGAAAGATTACCACCTGGTGATGGTATAGACAAGTCACTACCTTGCTACTGAAACTTATGCAGATTTGCCTAGAGAAATGGTGTTCAAGATCTGCCATAAAACTAATTAGTGAGCCAGGCAGTGGTGGTGCATGCCTTTAATCCCAGCACTTGGGAGGCAGAGGCAGGTGGATCGCTGTGAGTTCGAGGCCGGGCTGGACCGACAGCCTCCAAAACAATACAGAGAAACCCTGTCTCATAAAACCAAAAAAAAAAAACCAAAAAAACAACAAAAACAAAAAAACTAATTAGTGGACACACAGTAAGAATTGATCACTGTCAAGGTATGATATTGGGTTCTATATTTCCTACCTCCAATAACCTAGCAAGGTCCTAAGCTAATAAAATGAGATCTTTGGCCAAAATGAAGAAAGAAAAATGGCATACAAGGGTATCATTCTCTCTCTCTCTCTCTCTCTCTCTCAGTCTCTCTCTCTCTCTCTCTCTCTCTCTCTCTCTCTCTCTGTGTGTGTGTGTGTGTGCGTGCACGCACACACGCACGCACCTGCGCATGCATGCTTACTGTTTAAAATATATTTTAGTTTTTGAAATTAAAATTTAATTAGATAATTTTCCTCTTTCCTTTGCCATATCTAGCCCATCCCATGCATACCTCTGTTCTTCTTTCATGAGTTCATGACCCCCTCTACACACACACACACACACACACACACACACACACACACACACACACACACACACACAGCCTGCTCAGTCCGTATTATGTTACTTGTTTGTATATGACTTCTGGGCTGACCACTTGGTATTGAGTAATCAATAGTAGGACTTTTCTCTGGGGAAGACTATTCCTCCCACTCTCAGAATTCCTTAGTTGTCTGTAGTTCTTTGTCTAGGGTTGAGGCCCAGTGAGAGAGGGATATCATTTTAATGTTAGAACTGTGTCTTGTTCCTCAACCAGGATCATTGTGCATAGAAACGGATGTGGTCTACATTGTTGCCAGAAGTTTCCACATTCTAACCTGAGGCAAATGAACACATTAAGAAACAATATCAGAGGAAATCATTCTGTGCTATTATAAGAACTTGCAATTTGAATTTTGCTTCTAGGAGCTGATCATTCATGACAGGCATCATCTATTTTAAGCAACATGGAGAAAGAAGTGCACATTTTGGACATCAAAGATTACAAATACTGCATTTCTGATTTCACTGATTTAAAAAGAAAGTGGCCAAAGAATGCATGAAGCAGGTGCATTCAAAAGTTAATAAAAGTCTAAGCCTACATGCCTTTTCTTGTGATTTCTAGTTTCACATTTTGATTTATAAAGTTCCTAGATTAAATTTTTGTTCATTTCTGTCAGATGAGGTATAAACTAAGCCCAAGACTAGAATTCCTACTGGGAGGGCTTTTTCCTTCATGAAATAATCCTCCTAGCCACAGTGAATGAGTATCATTTTATAATTTAAGAGAAAAATACCCTCATGTAGAAATGAAACCCTGGAACAATTTGGTTAGTAATACAGTGTTTACAGTAATTAAAGAAAATGAAAGGGCCGGCTTAGTCAACAGTGTGTGTTGGCAAAAAAGTTCTGTGCTAACTGAGACGCATTAGTTGTGATGCCTGGTCTGTGGTATTGAGATGCAGTCCAAGTGCAAGTAGGCTGACAGGAATGACTGACAGGAGGGTTTGCCTTGGTGTCCAGTAGGAAATAATAGTGCACACACAGGGTCTGAGTCAACCTGAGTCTCACAGTCTTCCTGAGAGTTCACACAGAGTCTGGAAAGTAAGGTTTAAACACAGCCAGGAGACAGGAGGAAGCACAGTCAGCCAGCACTCATTAAACAGATGTGAGGCATTGGGTAGAGCAGGACAGAGTCTGCCCCAGAAAGAAACAACCAATGCCTCCTGACACACAGTCTCCACCTGGCACTACTGGGACTCTGTGAACTTGATAGCTGAAAAGGGATGATGGAAGACGCTACTCACCAAGTAAGTGACAGCTAATCGACAATTAAAAACAGAAATGTGCCATCCTTTTCATCTAGAGACATGTCAACCAAACTCGGATTCATTCCATGAAGCTCAAAGTTCAAAGCCTTGAACTAAAATCAACATAAATCTAGATTTTTAAACAGAGAATGTTCATTGTCCTCTTCCTGCTTTTTTAAAAATAGTTTATTTTTATTTAATATGCACTGATGTTTTGTCTGCATCTTGTGAGGATGCTGGGTCCCTTTGGAACTGGAATTGCAGGCAGTTGTGAGTTCTGGGAGTTGAACCCAAGTCCTCTGGAAGAAAAGCCAGTCCTCTTAGCCACTAAGCCATCTCTCCAGTGCCTTCCCCCACCCCAATTTTGGTTTTTGTATTGATTTCAGGTGGGCCTTTTCTTGTAAATTCTCAGTCAATCTCTCTGTCTCTAATTTTGTTCCCTTTATAAAGCAATTCCAGGATGAGGTGTAACAGGAAAGAAAGAACAAAGAGAACTAAACAACTAACCACCCAACTAAATTAGATTCTCCTCTTCTATCTTAATTTCTGTCTATTCTTTCATACAGTGAACAACTACACATTTGTGAAGAAAAATCCAGCCAACCTTACTCTATTTATTTCATAACTCTTTGTGTCCAAGTGTTTAGGCAATGGACACCCCTTGCCTCATTGTGGGACTAATTTATGCTTGCTGAGTAGCTATTTTCTCAAGCGGAGCAGAGTTCATGCTATACCATCCATGTTGAAATGAAGTTACTAATCATCTGTAGCAAAGGGTTTGTTCTACTCATCCCATCTTTGAGTCAGTAAAAAACCAACTCTGTGTTCAGCATCTCTGCCATTCATTCATGTCTTCTCTTGAAATGAACAGCATACACAAATCCAGTTTTTGAGGAGTTATATAGTCTTACAGAAAGAGCAGACTTCTGGGCTCTTGAAGTAAAGCATGAAAGGCAGGTAAAAACTCAACCATGAAATGGCTTTTCATGGAGGAAGGGGATGATTATGCCTTCACCATGATGTCATTAGTTCCCATATGGCTAGAACACTGTAGCTAACAATTTGAAAACTGTATTAAGCACTTACTTAACACCCAGTTCAGTATGTACCCAACACTGCCAGGAAAATAAATGACAGAATTTGCCTTGGAGGATATCACAAGCTACTGGGGTAAGGAGCATTTTAACAAGTGTAACAGAAAAGATGATAAGGCAAATAAACCAGATAAATGAGTTATCGAAATAATTTTGCTCAGGACAATTTCTGGCAGGTGACAGAAACAGATTCTGACTTCTGGTTAAAGAAAATATGCACTATCTATGTCTGTACTGGATAGAGCCCTGTTAAATGTCAACAGGGAGGCAGAGGTTGAAATGTGTATGGCCAGACAACAGAACATAAAGACATGGGTTTAGCTCCATCACTTCTCTGAAATAGCATTTAGAGAACAACTCCAAAGGATAAGTCAAGGACTCAGTTTTGGGTTAAGGTTCAATTGATATGGGATAATGTTCTTGTTCACTGCAAAGATTTGTCACTCATATTAGTTTAATAAAATGCTGATTGGCCAGTAGCCAGGCAGGAAGCACAGGTGAGACTGCCAGACTAAGAGTGCTCTGGGAAGAGGAAGGCAGAGCATGAGACCCAGCAGACACAAAGGAAGCAAGATGAGAATACCTCACTGAGAAAAGGTACCAAGCCACATGGCTAAACATAGATAAGAATTATGGGTTCATTTAAGTTGTAGGAGCTTGTTACTAAGAAGCCTGAGCAACGGGCCAAGCAGTTTATACTTTATATAAGCCTCTGTGTGTTTATTTGGGACTAAATGACTTTAGAAGCGAGAGGGACAGAAACTTCTGTCTATATTCAAGGCTTTCCCTTACTTTGGTCTTTCTGTATTCAATCTATCTTACATTTATTATATAGTTGTTATTAAGTTATTACCACTCCTTATACTCAGTGACATCTTAAGTGAAGGATTTTTGGTTCTGTCATCCACACCTACCGAGTCTTAGCTCTGAGACTCCTCTCAGCTTCTTTATTCACCTTATAAAATTTAGGAAGAATGAACAAGATAAAGTATGTAAATCACTGATCAATACCCAGCACACAATGGGTCCATTCATAAATGTGGTTTCTGCCATTGTTGTGTTGTTTAGTGTGTGTGTGTGTGTGTGTGTTGTTTTGTTTTTACCGACAGAGTGATTTTATCACTTTACTTTCTGTCAAATTTTATCATCATATACAAACACTTAACTATAATACAGACCCAAGCCTCTGTCTTCTAGGAAAGGGATTATGTAGTAGGAGTCAGCGGGATGAGGAACATTCGAGGTGGGAGGGGTGCCAAGCATTGAACTTTCTTTGGAAATGTGACCTCTGAGAGAAAAATGGATTCTCTGACAGCATGCAGATGCCTCATAAGGACACATCAATTTTCTATTCTGTTGAAGGATGAGCAAATTGTAGCTTCTCATCACTGAATTCAATAGTGACAATAACACCGACAGTTATCGGATGACAATGGCAGCCATGAATGGATAGACAGCCTTCAGAAGGAAAACAATTATAATTAGACGCTAGAAGGGAGCCAGAAGAGTGCAGAAAGTAGAGGGCACAGACAATACTGCTGAGTTTCCTAGCAACTGGGTAGCATTCCTTTTTGCTAGGAAATGGCGAGTAGTGAGAAGAGGATTCAGCACTGAGCTCAGGGCTGAGATGCATGACAATTACCAGAGAGATTATAATTACATTTGCAGCATCATCCATATATAAAGTGTTTTGTGTCACATGCTTCGGGGATTAGTTACATAAATGGGCCAGCGTGTTATAATTTTATCCAGTCAATCGGACTGAGGATTAATCCCAATATAACGAATTCAGATGGTGTGGATAAAGAAATCTTAGGTACCGCCTCCGACCGGAAAGAGCAGGACAAAGAATTAAACTCAAGGAGACATTCTATGTAAACCAGATGAGAGTGGACTAAATACACATCTTTCCTGAATAATATTTACGTTTCAGGAGGGGGCTCCTGGACATGAATTCTAAGTAGGAAGGTACAGGGGTAGGAATTTCAAGACCTGCAAGGCAGATTTTTTTTTAAGTAGAGATCCATTGTAACAGCAGAGGCAGGTTTACAGCATAATCTATTCTTCTGCCCAAGGTCAACATTGTCAGATGAAAAGCTGCCCTCCTTTAGAAGAGCTAGTCTGCTACAATAACTACCAAACAGCATATGCTGTCAGTCTGCACCAGCGTGCTGGAAATTATTCAAATCAATCAATTAAAAACATACCCACATAAATAATGCATTTCCACCTGACTTTTCTCCTGCTTTCCAGTCTCTGTTCATAATGAAGGTGGTTAGCATTCTTTAAAATGCAAATATCCATGTTTTTAGTCTATAAATAAGGTCTTGCTAATTGGACAATAAAGAAAGTTCTACCTGGTGCAGTTCAGGGGAGCGTTAGATAAGAAACATCAGACTGGGAAATCTCAGCACAAGTCAAAAGGAAATAGAAAAGAAAAGGACTTCCATGCCTCCCTAGACTAGCACTCCAGGATCTTTGAAACTGCCATATAAACAGTGTCTCCCTAACCCTCCTGCAGCAGATCTGGAAGGAAGGGAGAATCGAAGGCAATGCAATGTGGGGGTAAACCCAAGGTCTCCTGCTTTCTCAAACTCTCTAGTATTTTCTTCACCAGGTTGCCACCACGTTAAACAAACTCAGCTGGATTCCTTCGTTCGTATCCAGAAGGGCCGCGTTTGCCACATGCCCTCTTCAGTTATCAGGATAAACATCTACCCTGCTAGCATATGTCCCTGCACACTGAGTCTGCACATCTGGGAAACATTGCTGGCTAAAGCATCGTTCCAACTGTGAGCTGCTGGAAGGAATTCCTGCTACTCAGGCTTTTGGTATTTATTGGGAGAGCCTTGCAGAAATGGTGCAAGGATGCCCAGAGGGAGGCCTGGAAAATCCTTTGGAGCTTCCCAGCTGGGCTCCTGCTGCAGGGCTGGCACGGAGCCTTAGATTCTGATGGAGATGGAAAGGCTAAGGCACAGATCCCTGTCACCAAAAGACTTCCAGCTTCTTCTAGTATCCAGCTTCTGGGTTGATGAGTCCTTTGTGTCCCCAAAACTTTCAAAGCACAGTCAAATTGATAATGCTCAGCTGAGTATGGCCAGTCTCATTTAAATGTACAGTGTGGTGTGATGTTTTGATCACATTCTGACAATCCAGTTTGCTCTGAGTCAGAGGGTAGTGCTAGCCACTATCTGACCAAAATTAATCATAGAGGTTTTGGAGGACAGGACAGATAGGAGACAGGAAGTGTAAGGCGGGGCTGAGATAGGATCTCAGCCCTTTCAGATGAAGGAATGCAAGAGAGAGGAGATCAATGGTTACTTCTTTGCTTCTCTTATCATTCAGGTTCTTACCCCAATATCTGACACTTGATTTTTTAATTTATAAAAATAATTATAAAAATGCTTCTGTACAGTCATTAGGCCTGGGCAGAAGATATGTAAATCATGGGTTAGGGTGAGCTACATCATGTGACCTTATCTCTAAGCAACAACAGCACAATACTATTGATATAGTTTAAATGGGTCTCACTAACTCTTAGCTCGGAGGAGAAAATGATACAGTTAAGTTGAAAATAATTTCATTATATAACAGCTATGGAAAGAGAATTGAAATTGGGTTTTCTTGAGTAGTTAAGCAATTTTTTATAGACCTTAAACTGTTCCTGATGTCTAAATTCTGCAGTGTAGCTAGGTTTTATTTATTTATTTATTTATTTATTTATTATTACTATTTTGTTTGGTTTTTCAAGACAGGGTTTCTCTGTAGCTTTGGAAGCTGTCCTGGAACTTGCGCTGTAGACCAGGCTGGCCTCGAACTCATAAAGATCCACTTGTCTCTAACTCCCGAGTACTGGGATTAAAGGTGTGGGCCACCACTGCCCAGCTGTAGCTAGGTTTTTATAAAGGTCTTCAACATTACCTTCCAAACATCCTCACTACTTGCTCCTAGTTCTTCCCCCCACTTCCATATC